AATTTTTGTTTAACAAAAAATATATTTAACATGATTTAATCTTCAAAGAAAAAAGTTGAAAAAGATGTGATTATTTCGAATTAGAAATTAAAAATTGCGCAGATAACAAAAAATTAAGCAAGTTAAAGGAAGAAAAAAAATGTGAAAATAGAAGATGAAAATGCGCAATCTAGAAACTCTTTTCCTTCCGATAATTCCAACAAATATCGTATATTATAAGCGTCAATTATGTATTTATAAACTTGGTATCCATAGCGGCAAGAATAACAATGGTCATTATTATGTTTGGATAGAAAGTGAAGCTGGTCAGGGAGCCCAGGACATAGACAGTTGTTTTAAGAAACACATTGAAAAAATTACATTATTCTATCTCTTTTCTGGTCAGTTTTTTACCCAATCATAGTGATTTTCGAGTTATTGAAAATGTCCTAAAATTTCAACATTTATATACAGTTGATGATTACCTAAATGAGATGAAGTAATCCCGTAAAAAGAACCCACTAGTAGTTCATAGAATGAAAAAAGAAGAATTCGTTGGAACAAAGAAGTTAGAAATTATGATTACAAACTGTAAATCAGACATAGAAACTGTAAATGGAAACTTGTAAATGGCAAAAAAAAAACCATGAAGCTAAAAGTGAAATAATATTTGATGGTGGGGGGTTACTGGTAAAGAGATAAGTGAAAGATTTAATATATTTTTTCTAGACAGTGTAAAAGACATAGCAGATAGCATTATTTCAAACAAAACCCACCAAGAAATTTGTAGTTCAATAAATGTCGACTGCAAAATGGAAAAATTCAAAATTTTAGAAATGAAAGATTTAAAAAAACAAATGAAAGAAATGAAAAACAAAGAAAGTAATGTTGATGGTATTACAGTTCAAATTTTAAAGAGTTCCTTTGAAGTAATAGGCGACAAAATTTTGCATATTATAAATGGTAGTGTGGCGTATTCCCAAGTAAATGGAAGAGAAGTCTGGTTGTACCAATTGAGAAGGTTCATGGAACTGTTAAGTGTGAGGAATTTCGACCCATAAATATGGTACCACCATACGAAAAACTGCTGGAATTATGTGCAAATGATCAAATAATGGAGTACTTGGAAAGCAATAATGTGTTAACTAAATTCCAAGCAGGGTTTAGGAGAGGAAATTCCTGTGAGAGTGCAATGCAGACGGTTTTGTTTGACTGGAAGGGTGCGCTGGAGTGGGGGAAAATGATGGGAAAATGGTGTGGTTTTCTTAGACTTTAAACGTGCATTTGAAACCATAAACAGACAACTGCTATTGAGAAAGATGGAAAGGTATGGCTTTGGTAAAAAAATTATAAAGTGGTTTCAAGAATATTTGACTGATAGAACACAAGTGACAAAATATGGTGCCATTTCATCGGCTCAGAAGTCTCTGTATGGTGTGCCATAGGGAACTGTGTTAGGTCCTACTCTTTTCATACTGTATATAAATGATATGTTGATGTTGTTAAAAAGTGTAAGGTACAGTTGTTTGCTGATGATACTGTGATATATGCAATAGGGGATAAGGTAGATGAAATAATCGATATAATAAATGAAGAGATATGTAATATATTAAAATGGCTCGATAATAATTCCTTAAGTCTTAATGTAACTAAAACAAAAATGATGCTTATAAAGAATAAAAATTTTAAATTAAATAACATAATAAAAGATGTAAAAATTAATAATATTGTTTTGGAGAGAGTGGTTCAGTATAAGTATTTAGGATGTATTATAGATGAAAATTTAAGTTTTGTTGAACATTTTGTTACAAACAAAATAGCAAAAAAAATCTATGCATTGGGAACAATGTCAAAAAATTTAAGTTGCTGGTGTAGGTTGACCATATATAAATCGATTATTGCTCCCCATCTCTATTTTTGCTCTAAATTGCTGTTTTTAATGAATGCTTCTCAAATGAATGTACTGCAGAAAAAACAAAATAAAGCCTTAAGGATAATATTAGGATGTAGTGTATAGTAGAACTGACATGCTAACAATGGCAAATGTTTTAAGTGTAAGACAGACAATTGTATGTAATAGTATGATTTTTGTTTATAAAATGTTAAATGGTCTGATACCTGTGCATTTATGTAATAATTGTACCTTTGTTCGAGATGTACATGAACACAACACACATTCTAGAAATAACTTTTATCTGAATAGGGTCAACACTAATTTTGGTCAGAACAATCTTTTTTATAGGGGATTAAAGCAATACAATGAATTACCGGAAAACATTAAGGCTTCTGGAAACTTAGCTCAATTTAAAAATTTATGTAAGATATATGTTAAGCAAAGCATTGTGATTTAATTTTAAGGGTATAAATTGATGTATCTATATGTATATTTTTCTAGCCATGTGCTATTAATAAAGATTATTATTTATTATTATTATAGAAAACAGTAAAGTAAGCTGGCTTAAAACAAGAGAAATTGAAATAAGAAAGGATAAACCACTGAGTATTTTTATGAAAACTGATTTTTAACACTAGTGAAGTTGAAGTAGATCTTCACGAGAAACTTCAAAAAGGATGGCCCATTGTAATGCAATCCCTAAGTAACCACTTGATTCCTCTTTGGCCCACAGGCAAACCAATTTCTGTGCCTAAGATTAACAACTTAAGATCTTTACTGGACTTAATACCAAATGGTGCAAAACCTCTGTATCACTCCCTTTTCAGTAACAATACAGTAGATGATATTGACAGATTTGATGGAGACTTAGACGGCATACTAGATGAATAATGTTTATTTACTATTTTCATAATATTCAGAAAATTGTACCTACTGTTAAAACTGAGTTTAAGTTTGTTTTTTATTTTTGATTAATTTCTTAAGTAATATAAAATATTCAAAATGACGACTTTTATTGACATACCCAAAAAGAAATAATAGCTTGTGGTCTACTAATCATTCACTAAAAGTGATATTTTGGTTTCACATCACTAGACCAAACGACCTCCATGTCACTTGGTCTATTGATGTATAACAGAATGTGGAGTAAGTCGACCAAAAGCCTTTTTTTTTCAGTTTTCTTTAACATTAGCAAGTTACTATTTAGCAAGCACTTAGAGAAAACATAACAAACTATCTTCGAAAATAAAAAATTACGACTATTGCAACATATACTTAATTTTAATAGAGTGAAAACCTTCGAAGTCAAATATCTCAAAATTAATTTTTGGCACTTGGTCTAGTGATGCATAACACCATCCATATATTAAAATGCAGTACACCTTTGAAAAACAAAAATATGACACCACATTCTGGAAAACAAAATTAATTCCTGAAATACGAATCTTACATATAAAATAAGTATCTTGCTGATTTATTAGAACCAATTTTATTATTAAACTTCAATAATTAAATTCCAATTAAGATGAAAGACCTAAATTTATATCAGAAATGTTTACAAATATTCCTTCCCCTATAAAAATGTTCACCACCCATTCATATATAATTCTAAACATATTGAAACAGTTGAGAAATATGAACAATGGTCAGTATAACTTGTAGTATAAACCAAAGTTTAAAATTTTTGTGAAAATTTAAATTTTTTGCATTTTATCTATTCAATTAATTTTAATCACAAATAGGTGGAATGTATATGAATAAATAACAGATCATTAATGTAACTTTAATTATAGCACTTTACAAACACATACAAAAATTTACAGATAAACAAACCCCTAAAAATTATGAAAGCAGTTCTGTTTAAAAATTAAATCAAATACCTACTTAAATTAAACCTAGGTATATAAATAAAACAAAAGCATATTAGTATAATATTTTCATTTTACAAGAGGTCTAGACTTGGAATCATCATCACAGCATGCAGCTTTGTACTTTCTCACCTCACTCATATACATAGACCAAGCATCATGTGATGAGCTCTCCTCAGAAGTTGGAGGCTTTGGTTTTTGCACCAAACCAGTTTTTAATACTTTACCACCTCTTCTCTTACCAAATATTGGAATTGGTTTTGGAGCTACAACTGGTGGAGGTTCTTCAACTTTCTTTTGTTGTTCTTGCATTTTCTTAAACATTTCTAAAAATGAACCATCATTTTTGAAAACATTATCTTTTGTAGTATCTTCTACTGGTGGATTAAACTGAGAATTTATATCTTGCATATCAGTATCTCTTTCTTCAGACGATCTTTGAGGAGATCGCCTGTGCTTTAATTTACTTAATTTATATGATCTTGAGTGACTTTTTGACCTAGATTTCGACCTGGAATGTTTTGGAGATCTTCTTCTCTTGTGTCTATGCCTTCTATAGTAAGATGGTGAGCGAGATCGACTTTTAGAAGAACTGTATCTTCTCCTTCTACGACGAGAGCGGGACCTAGATCGTCGAAATCGGCCCTTAGATCTGGATCTAGATCTAGAATGTCGTCTTCGAAACCTCTCACGAGATTGACTTCTAGACTTTGATCTAAATCTGCGATCTAAGTACCGTTTCTCATACTCAACATACTCAGGATTTTTTAAATATGGATTGACTAGATCTATGAGTCTACCTGCTGGCTCGTTTTCCTCCGTCTCATCTTCCTTTTCTATGGACATTTCTTTCTCTGATCTATGGCCTGGATCATCATTAATTTCTTCTAGTAGAAGATCTTCAGTTCCAGGAGGTGGGGGTATATTCCATTCTACAGGAGCAGGATTCATCTGTGGGAAGTATGATGATTGACCTACAAGAGAACTTGCAGGTATAATTAAATGCAAAAGGTAAAAAATAGTTCATCTTGCTGGTAAAAGTTTGTAAAGTGCTATTTTTTAAAAATAATGCAATAAATTCAATAGGCAATAAAATTAACTTTGCAGAGAGATGTTAGATAATCAATGAACTAACTCCTTGTTGACATGCCGAAATAAAATAGATAATTATAAAAACATCGAAGTGTGCAAACGAACAAATTCACACCCTAAACTAAAAGTAATTTCTCACAATAATTTTACCCTACAAATAGCAGTACCTGAATTAAATGCTGGATTATATTTTCCTCAAAATTCTTTTCCAAAATATGTCTGCCACTTAAGCTGAACAAAAGTACGACTAACGACAGTTGGCGATATGAACCGATTTTTTACGATTTACATTTTATGTAAGAGTATGTTCAGAATATGAGTTAAAATGCAAATCACGTAAATTCAGGACCAAGCCAGAGCCAGCATGTCAGCAATACTTTTGCTATTTTATTTATTTAAACCGTTTGTTATTTCCACTGTCAAAGTTGTGCAATAAAATTAGAGAAAAAAGTTCTTTATTTTTAATGTGAAACATGTTTGCGCGACTTAAATAAAACGTGGACTAACTTATTTATGTACTTTGATGGTTAAAACATAATTAATTTTATTTCTTGGAATCTAAAACAAGGTTTTTATTTGAACTCCCATGAAAAACCGCCATATCCATTACTTACTACTAATCACAGAATAAGAAATTAACTCCTAAAAAGAAGAAATGAAAGATGAAAATAAAATAGAAAACGGCAATAAATCACGTCAATTGTCAATGCGCGCATGTGAAAATTATAGAAATTTTATTTATTTTTGAAATAGAATTCTTTATATTGGAAACTTAAAATTTGTAATTTAGAACCATGGCAGATGATCAAGCAATTAATGGAAGCGCTGAAGACTTACCAGAAAAGAATCAAAAAAAAGTTGCCAAATACGATAGTGGAGCAGCCGATCTGGAAAAAGTTACAGACTATGCAGAAGAAAAAGAAATATCTACCCAAGATGTAGCAAATGCAATATCAGCTATAGGTGATAGAAGAAATAAAGATGCTTTAGAAAAACAAGCTAGAGAAAAAGAACTGTTGAAAGTATCAATTAAAAAGGAAGATGTGGATTTGATTGTTCGCGAAATGGAAATATCTAGAACTTTGGCAGAAAGGACTCTTAGGGAATATCATGGAAATGTTGTGAATGCTTTGGTAGCATTGACCAATTGAACTTTATTATATTAATAAGAACAATTTTAGTCCTGACAGTAAGAATATTTTCCAAATAAAACAGTGAACACAATTATTTTTTGTTTTTACAAAATTAGCACTGTTTGGGTGACAATGAACCTTTTCAAGTGTAGTTTTTTAACATGTCTACTACTATGCTTATTGTTACTAAATTAATTAATAAAGAATGATTTTTTCCAAGTTGGTAATTAAGAATTGTCTTAGATATGTCTATGTATAAATGTAATTTGTCAACTAAAATGTAAATATGAATTAGTTCTAGAGCAGTTTTTGTATATTCTATTGATGGATAATTCTGTCACATTTAAACAAATAATCCCTAAATCTGATGGTTGGTTAATCTCAAATGGTTGTGTTGAAGAAGCCTTTAGAGTTTTGCTGTTTGTTTAGGAAAGATGCTAAAAATTTATTTAATAATTTTAACAATTCTTTAATACCAACTTATTTGTACACCTATAACTTCAATAGTAACACACAAGCCCCTTCCGAATTAAGTTGGCCCAAAGTCATATTTTTCAAAAATTTGTTTTTAAAAGGCTTTATTGTGAACTTCATTTATTCTTATTTGTATAACACTAAGTGTTAAATCAATGAAACTGATAACTACAACAGGAGAAATCTAAGAAATATACAACATAGGCACATAGTGGATTTGAAAGTTCAGTATTTAGGAACATCTGCTTTATTCTTTATGATCTCCAAAATTGTTTGGGGCATAGTTTTAACACTACAAAATTCTGGTTTGAAGTAATCCCGTCTTTATTGAAGTCTTTGCTTCAATTCAAAGATTGTTCTAGTGGGAGGTTCATTAAGCACTTTTTTCATCTCTTGGTAAAAATTTTCTATGAGAGATATATCAGGATACTAGAAGCCCATGTTGTTTAATGGAACACTCCTAGAGATACTGTTTACAGCGATTGTATTCCAGAATTTTCCCACAACAATCCGAACTTGTCTGCTTCATAATGGCTAGACAAAGTCGTTCAACTTAGAGAGATAAACGGATGGGATGATGTCTCTACCATATTCCATATGCAGTCAAGACTCGACGGAATGGCAACGTCCTGGTACCATAGTCTCGCCAAGTACAACTACACGTGGAATGGTTGGAAAAGACTTATTTTAAAATCCTTCCTGGATCATAACCATGATACTATGACTATAAGATAAGATATTGCGCATGTTTTTGTGACGTCATATCCGACAATAGTTTGGAGATATCCTTATGTGTACGATTATTGTAATTATTAAACCTGTTGACTTATTTTCGTCTAGTAATTTCATCACAGAATGCATACAAATCTCATTTAACTTTAACAATAATTCAAATTCTAGTCTCCAATGACGGGATGTGCGAACCCGATCGATTTTGAGCTACTGGAAGATCCTATCTTGTTATTCATAGTATCATGGATCATAACGATTACGCTCCTTTGTTGAGGAAAATGTTGGACAGAAAGAAACATAAAGGCGAGACAATGAGTGTATATTAGATACCTACCATGATAATTGTAATAAATCTGAAATTTCTGATTTAATTTTTTTGAATTAAAAACAAGTACATTTTTTTATTGATAATATTTTCTCTATCCTCAAACCTTGAGGAAGGGATACAGTCAGTTTCAGATTGAATCTTAATTAATTGTCAAGCCACACATATACCAGAAGACTACAACATTTTTAAAATGCACCTGACAATTGTGATTCAATTTTTTAGAGCCACCTGCATTTTTTATCATTAAATTGGATTCATCTATGATAGGATTACATTGTTTTTTTTTCTATTGAATGTTATTAAAAATTCCATATGATCCAACAAAAGCATTTAAGTACAATACTTCTTCTTTAAGTGCCGTCTCCCAATCAGAGGTTCTATAGAACTGCATTTAAACCAGTCCCTTAAATTCTTCAACCATGACACTCTCCTTCATCCTTTTGTCTTTCCCTGTATTATTAGCCTCAGTTCATATCTCTGTCCCCTCATTATGTGTCCCAGATATTGTAACTTTCTTATTTTTATTGTGTTATTTTGCATTCTTTGCCCATTTCTCGCAATACTTCTGTGTTAGTTTTCTTCTGTGTCCATGCTATTCTAAGCATCCTCCTGTAACACTACATTTCAAATGACTGTAACTTATTTATGTGTTCTTGCTTCAATGTTCAGTTTTCAAGTCCATATTGCAGTATTGAAAGCATGTAGCATCTCAGTGCTCTTACTCTCAGTTCTAATCTAAGATCTTTGTTGCAGAGAATTGCTTTCATTTTTACTAATGCATTTCTTTCTATTTCTATCCTAGCTCTTATTTCGGTTGTTTGATCATTATTGCCTAAAATCCAGGCTCCTAGGTATATATCAACCCTTTTTATCAGTACATTTCCCAAATGTATGATTGTTGGTATATTTGTTTTCTTTGTTATTATCATGTATTTGGTCTTTTTTATATTCATTTTTAGTCCATATTTTTCACAGAAACTGTTTGTTTTGTTTAGCAGTAATTTTAGTTGTTCAGCAGAGCTTGCCATAACCACAGTGTCATCTGCATATCTTATGTATATTAAGTACATATAACTTTTTATATTGGCCAAAAAACTACGATTTTAATAGTTGGGCTATCTGACATGGGAAGGAGCTCATATGTGTCTAAATAGTTTATTGAGAAGTGATCATTTTTACAGAAACATCTATCCTTAGTAATTAACTTAGTGAAAATTTAGGAGAAAGCAATGTTTTTATGTACACTGTTTAATTTATAACACAAAAATGTAATTTTGATCCAACAATCATCTATTAGAAAAATGTTTTCTACAATTTTGTAAATAAATCAAAAACTTTATAGTAAGTGTATTTAAAAATATGTTTTAAGAAGAATAAGTGAATTTTTATTATCAGGTATTAAAAAAAATAGGATGACTAGAGCCAAAGAAAACAATTTCTGGGTAAAATCTTTAATATTTAAATAAAAAAATATAACTAAATAAATAGTTTCCATTTATCCTGGAGGCCATTCCATTTGTCTCCCTCCTAAAATATGAATGTGCAAGTGATACACTGATTGACAACCATCCTTTCCATTATTTATAACAAGTCTATAGCCATTCGGCAGTTTCTTTTGTGCAAGTGTTTTAGCTGTGTATATGACATGTCCAATTAGCTAAAATTATATGATAATTATCATCAAAGGTGTAAAGTAACATTTATGGGTAACAGTGGCGCACCTAGAATTATCCTGTGGGGGGGTTTTGGTCAGACACCGAATTTTTTTTAAGCTACCTACATTTTGAGTCCTTAAAATTTATGAGTATTAAGTGTCAGAATAGTGCCCTGGGGGGTTTAACCCCCCAAAACACCCCTCCCCACTGAGTGCGCCACTGCTGGGTAATGACATGTTAAGACTAAAACTAAATTAATAAATTTATTTACCACTGGCATGGTAATTCTCATCACTATCATTCTTAGTAATTGTTAAAATATTAATAAATGTTCAGTGAAAATTGAATGAAGTTTTTATTGGCAAAGTCAAAAATAGAATGTAAAATAAATTTTCTTTTCAACCAAATTTTAAAACTGCATAAAATGTTTTCTGTGTTAATTTCAAATGTACACATGTAGTCGCTAGAAATGAAAACATGTTAGGACATTTTGAAAGAAAAGTATTAAGGGGAATCTATGCAGTGGTGAAGGACAATGTGGAGAAGAAGATACAACTTCAAACTTTATAAAATATAACAGGAACCAGATATTGTAAAAGATATTACGATAGAATATCTGAGGTGGATAGGGAATGTAATGCCAGTGGAACAAAATGACACAAATAGAAAAACGCTCCTTGATAGACCCAGAACAAGGGTCCTTGATAACATCAATGAAGACATGGAATGGACAATTGTAGAGAAATTCTTGAGGAGGCTAGGACCCACTCAGGGTTGTAAAGCCAGAATGATGATGATATATTTGCTAGAGCATATTTATGAACTTCACTCAAAAATTTACTGAACCTCAATTCAGTGTAAATGACATATAAAGGCCCAAAACTGGACTGTTTAAATTGTTATTTTAAATTGACTGGTCTCTGGTTAATTGTGGTGGTAAATAGTTGATCAATAGGGTGAAGAAATATCTTGTAAAATGAAATCTCTTCACACATTCTTTATTGCAACATAGGGAAACATACTAAAATTGTAACGACTTTGCCTAGGGATGACAGGGTCGCCGCCTAGGCAAATTAAAACTTAGGACTAAGAATTTATATATACATAGAATAAAATATTTTGAAATATTGAGTCCCTAAATCAACAAAATAAAAAAGTAGAAAACATAAAAGTTGGAAGACATTTTGACCAGAAGAAAAATTGAGAAGTAGCAAAGTGAAAAAAATTCTTGTTCACTAGAGATACTAATATATCTGCTATACCAAGTATAAGTAATACTTATACTTGGTAATAATAAAATTTATAGATAGTTTATAAATTAACTTGCTTCTTTATCAGTTTCTTTACTATCATCGAGCTTTGGAATTTGCCTTTTAGGTATTACTAAAAAATGTACTGGAGCTTGGGGATTGACATCATTAAAAGCCAAACATTTATCATCCTCGAAAATTATATCTGCTGGTATTTCTTTTGATATGATTTTATCAAATATTGTACCTTTTTTACTATCGAAAGTGGCTTTTTGAGATTTTTCAACCTCTGAGCTCATCTACAAAAATGAATGGTGTAAACATCAAATCAAAAACAAAATTCTAAATGTTTACTTCTCTTATTCTTAAAATTTGTTGACAGCTCGAAATTTCAAATAATTGTTTCCATTTCACGTTTTTTATGGAATTTTTCACCAAAAAGGCCATAATATTCTTTCAATGAAAATATTCAAAGTTCAAATAAAATCAAAATTTTTTATTTTATGACGACTATGACATGACATACGATATCTTCTTCTAATTTTTTACGTTGAGCAGAACCACAGAACACAGATATTTAGTTGAATGATAAATTTGACCTTTGTAACAAGGAAAAGGAAATTGAATTACTTGTCACATGTCAATTTACATGTAGTCGTACCATACCCGTCACTGTACCAACGGAGTAGAAATCGATTTGGACTGAGCTTAAAATTCTCAAGCTTGGCAGCATTTGTTAGCAGCCCTGTTTCTTAACGAAAATAAAGTGTTCCCCTAAAATATCTACAAAATTTGAAAGGTAAAAATCTAACTAGATACAAATAAAGTATATTTGTTGCTTTAATATGGTTTATCCAATTTTGGAGTTTGTCATAAAAGAGTCAGGTATGGCTGTTAATTACGTCAGTAGTTTTTATATCTAAAATTAATGTTTTATTAACGTTTTAGCAATAATTCCTGGGTGATGTATATGTATATTGAATAGTAACTTTTAAAATGAATTCAGAAAGTTTGCATTGTATAATATGCAATGGGGCTTGGGATCCCTGTGCTGACTACATAGAAATATTTGCTGCAGATGTAAGTATAGAAATAATAAAAAATTTAAATTGAAAATAATTAAGTAAATATACATTCTTCTTAGTTCAGATATAGACTTAGAAAATAGCACTTTGCTTAACTGTGTTGATTTATTATTATAATTGATACCACAATTAAGATTTACTGTTTTTTGGTTTTTTAAATATAGGCCATCTTCAATGGTTACCTCTTTTCCAAGGATGGTATAAAAGAGGCTAGAAGAGTTTCTGGATTATCTTAGCACCTGAAATCATCTATATTTGCTTGTTCTTTTTTTTGTATTTGTGCTTTTTTATCCTATTCTATAATTTAATTATTGAATATAATTTAGTTTGGTCACCATATTCCTAATATATTATATACCTGATTATCTATAAAATATTATCTGAAGGCTGGTGGTGAAAGGAAAGAAAAGAAAGGTCTGTAGTTTCAACAAAGTAAAGCCTCTTTATTTGTTTATTCTTTTATTAAATTAAGTCTTGTAACTCATTATTTGCCTCAATGGAAGCAGTTATTTGTATTTAAAATATTCTTAGTTTTATGAATTTAAAATGTTAAAATCCCTTTGCCAGTCTAGCCATGACTTTTTTATACTGTTGTGTAATTTTTTTTATAATAAAACATTTTTCCCATTGTACAGTTGCGGTCACGGAATAGTTTACAGGTTCACGTATCTAGAGCCCATTTTTTAAATTTTTACTTCGTTTAAACGCACCTTTTACGTCAAAGTGACGTTGCCAGTGGTGTACTAGCTAGAATAGGTAGATTAAAATTAAAATATCAAAATATTTTAAAAAATGAAAAACAGTTTTTTGAATAAAATGGATTATGATCTTAATAACGAAAATAAAGAAGTCTTTTTTTTAATATGCATTTTATTTTAAATCTATTTTATATTAAATAACGATAAACAACGATAAATAATAATTAATATTTGGTGGAAGCCCCATTCTTGTCAATACAATTTTGCAGTCTTCTGTTCATAGATAGCACCAATCCCCTCATGTTATAGTTAACAAGCTCTCCCCATGCCTGCTCAATTGCTTCCCATAATTCAATTCTATTCCGTGGTCTAAGGGTTCTTTCATTCAGTTTCTTTGTTAACTCGGCCCACACATTTTCGACGGGGTTAAAGTCTGCACTACGGGAAGGCCACGGAAGAACATTAACATCAGTTTCTTCTAGCCATTCTCGAACAATTCTACTCGTATGCACCGGGCAATTGTCATGTTGGAAGATAAAGTCGTTGTTGGGGAATCTCTGGATCACCGATGGCAACATTGTGTGCTCAATAATATGTTTGCAATATAATCCTGTTAACTTCTCCTCTACATGATAACAAACGCCCGGGCCTTCGGCACTTATCCATCCCCATACGTTGACAGAGAATCCTCCACTATTTCTTAAATGATGCGTATACTGTTCATCATACCTATGATTTCTCGGCCTATAAACTCTTATTCGACCATTATTATACGACTGAAATACTTTTTCATCGGAAAATACAACCCTAGACCAAAAATTCTCATCGCGGTTTATAAATTCATTACAAAATTCAACTCGTCTCCTCTTGTGATCCTTAGTCAAAAAAGGTTTCCGTGCAGCTACACAATTTAGCAGTCCACTTGCTTTAACTCTTCGACGTGCAGTGCGAATACTGCCTGGAAACGCTGCCTCTTCTCTTGCCTTTTGAGCTGTGGCAAAAGGAGATTCTCTCAAATAATCTACTAACATCTCATCCTGTTGATCTGTGGAAATCTTCTGCCCTCCTGAACCGCCCAACCGTGCTATAGAGTGAAAATTATCCCATCTTTGTTTAATCTTCCATATGCACATATGACTCACGTTCAAATCAGCAGCAACTTGCCTTAGTGACCAACCTTCTTCGAGTTTGGCAATTGCTCTTGCTTTTTGCGCATAATTCAAATGTATTCTAACCATTTTGGAAGAGTTTAATATACCTTTATTTTATTGTTGAACACTCGCGAAAGCATTGACGTTTTGAAATTTTTTGACTTTGACATTTATCAAATCCGTACGACACTGCAATTTTACAGTATTACAATATAAAAAGTAAGGTGTAAACTATTCCGTGACCGCAACTGTACAATTCCTTTTTTCATTTTTGTCTTTGTATATCACAAATCCTGTTTAATCCTAATTTTAGTTTTAATTGCTTCTTATTAATTAATTAGTCTTAATTACTTTTTATTTTGTCCAGTTGGTTTAACAAGTATTAATATTTATTTAAAATTTTAGTCCAACAGAGAATCAGACTTACATATAGTATCTTTAGTGTCAACACTGCTGGATAAAGATATTAAAGAAGATCCAGAAAATGTCCAATTAATTTGCAAAAAGTGTTTTTCCTATTTAACTGAACTAGAAGAACTACAAACAAGAGTAGCTGAAATTAAAAATGAAATTTTTGAAACAAGTGGACAAGAAGATAGTGTATTTACAGAAAACCCTGAAAATGAAATCACACAAGCAAAAACTATTTCTCCTAAGAAGATGTTATTTATTCCATCATCCGATGAAGATTCCACACAAGTATGTATGTTTGGCAGGTTATTCAGTATTTTTATAAAGTTGAATTAGCATGTTTTTGGTCAGTTTTTTTTAAAACTTTGTTTGAACTAAGGTTCAAGACCTATTTAGTCATACATAGTCTAAAATCCCACTGCAGGGTCACTATGTTCATAACTTAGTTAAACAAACTCACATTTTTACATATGTACATTTAAAATTAGGAGAATACATTGATAATAGGTTGCCAGTCAAAAAGTGGCCACAAATATTTTTAATTCAATCAATAGTAGTTAATTTTTGAACAAAAATTATGTTTCATTTATTTTTTAAATAAAATATGCAGCTCATGACATATGCATGTTTTTTATATTAAATTAAATCTAATTTTTTAATATGATTATAATATAAGGTATGTATATATTTATTTATTTATTTATATACGGCATCCATTTACTTACAATTTTTACAAAGTTACATCTTAAAAACAATATATTATTAAAATAACAATCACAAGTTTTACAAAGTTACACCTTAACAACAATAAATTATTAAAATAACAAACACCTCAGAATAATACACACATAAGAATAATACAGATGTACAACCAACTTATTATAAGATACTTTTTAGTTGTTTTTTAAACAAATTAATTTTGGAGTCAAAAATATCTATTTGTCTTGGCAAGCTATTAGCACTCCGGACCAATCATGTAGTTGGTTCATTGATACCATAATTAGTGTGGTGAAATGGCACCAAAAAGATTTATGATTGTCTGTTGCTTCTACTAGGAACTTTAAGACTAACAAGTGATAAGAGTTGAGGACAATCTATAAAAGCATTGATAATTTTGTGTAAGAAACATAAATCTAACAATGTCCTCCTTGACTCAAGTGTTGGTAAGTTAAGACTATCTCTTACCCACTGATAGTAGTATTCCTCTCTCCTGTATCCACTCTTATAGGCTGCTACCCTCAAAAATTTATTCTGGACTCTTTCAATCTGTTGAATGTAACAGTGGTATGATGGGGACCATACAACTGATCCAAACTCAAGAATGGGCCTAACAAGACCACAATAAAGTCTTCTAAACATAAATAAAGACAGATCCACAGATGTGAGTTGGATAAATCCCAGCACTTTCATCGCTCTGTTACTTGGTTAATGTGGCTTGAGAATGACAGTTTGGTGTCTAACCAAATTTCCAAATCTAATACTTCATTTTTCGAGACTAATGGCAAGTTATTTATGTAGTAAACAAATGTAATTGGATTTCTTTGCCTCGAGAATGTCATTTTATGACATTTGTTTATATTGAGTGACATTTTGTTTAAAGTGCACTAATCATAAAACAATTTAAGATCTTCCTGTAATATAACATCATCATTCCAGGATTGAATTTTTCTAAACAGTTTTACATCGGCAGCAAACATAAGAACACTACAATTTTTGATTTGTTGTACTAAATCAACTAGAAACAAGCAAAACAAAACAGGGCCACAATGGGAGCCTTGTGGCACACCTGATGGAACTGTTATTTCAATTGAAGTGTCACTTCCCAAGTTAACTTTCTGCGTACTGCCACTAACAAATTCTGTAATCCACTGAAGAAGGGGATCCAAGTCTGTGTCAGCTTCTGAATCAGTTTCGTCCGCCTCTGTTGCCATTTCAACGATTTCATTATCTGTAAGCAATCGATAGCTGTTTGCGTCCTCATCACAAATTAACCATTCGTTTATGTCATCTTTAGGCAATGAAAACAAAACAGTTTATTCAACCATAAGTTCATTTGTTACCGCATCACTCTCGGCTGTTATGGGACATTTTGATGTTGAGTTGATTAAGGCCATAATTTATGCCACACTCTTTTCACCGTTACTTCCGAAACATCAGCCCAAGCATCCACAGCATTGTCAACAGCATGTTTTAAATTGTATGCTTTCCAGTATTCTGGTAAAGAATATTTCTCTTCCATAACTAGGTTTTGAATTTTTTTTCTTCTTTTAAGTGTTTCAATAGCCGATTGATCAATTGGCTGTATCAAGGATGTTGCATTCGCAGGCAGAAAAGAGCACGTGATATTTCCATCGTCACTTTGCAGCATACCGGCTTCAGGATGTGCAGGTGCATTGTCCAAAATGAGAATCGTCTTTGGTGGCAAAGGTTTTGCTTGCATGTATTGTCGAACGTCTGGTATAAAAACCTAAAGAAAAAGACATTAGAAAAATAGATAAACAAGTTTAATGCATAGGACATCTATGCATTATGTTTTGCGTAGTAGTTAACGGAAAGCTGGTTCACATTTATGCCCTTGAAACAACGTATTGCTGTACCAATCAATAATAAAGGAAGGCGATGGTCACCACTTGTATTTGAACACATAGTTGCTGTGATTCGTTGCTTTTGCGTTTTAAATCTGGGTGGATATTTTTCAGACAGTGCAGCGAGTGTTTTCATTGGCAATGCTTTGCAGTTTAAACCAGTTTCATCCGCAGTGAACACTTGATTACGTGTCAAACCATATTCATCGATCATAGCTTGAAACTTTCTTTTATATTCGTCAACGACTTCAATACTTGCGGCGCTCAATTTTTCACCTTCGATTTTCAGTTTCCGTATATCTTGGCGGTTTTTTAACTTTTCCAACCAACCGTTGCTTCCTTTGAATGAAGGATCGCCATTCAATTTCATGATGAAAAACAACGCTTTTTCGGCAACAATTGATCCAGACAAAGGAACATCTTCGATTCTTTTTTGAACGAACCACAAATACAGAGCCTTGTCGAGTGATTCATTTGCGGCTTTTTTCATTATCTTACGATGTTTCACCCGGCCATCCAACGATTCCATTTGTGAAGCATACTTTTCAATTCCTTCAGCATTTTTATTTAAAGCATTGATTGTTATTCTCGGAACATCATACTTTTTTCTGAATGCGACAGCAAAAACACCTTTCTTTGGTTCTGCAATATATTTTTTTAATTGACAAAACAACGTGTTTTCTTTTTGATGCTCCACATGTGGAAGGGCTCCATTTTTCAAAACTTAATTGATCAAACTACTAAGTGACACAATTAATGTTCGAATTTGAATCAAACTGAATTATGGTGACACACAGATATTGACTGTAATAATTATTGTGCTGTGCGTTATATTTTCGCCTTGCGATTTATCATTATCTCTTTAAATTGAAATTTAATCCAGAGCCCTGAATAAGAAAAAAAATTATTAACATAACAAAATGCGGTGGTGGCATAACTACATGTGTACCTACATTTCAACGAATTTCGTTTGGCTTATTGCAATCCTCAAAACAAAATGAATTGATGACTAAATAAATGTTTACATATGTAGTCAATATAACTTATGTATGGACCCTGACTGTGAACAGAGGTGATGGTCAATAGAGAGATGGATAATCGAGGTTCCACTGTATTATCACTTGTCAAACCAGTGTTGTTGCGGACTAACTTTATTTTATTTTATCTTTGATAGCTCGCGTTTTTAACAGCTGCTAACCCTAATTTACGACCATTTTTTTTTCAGGCAACCTTACATAATAATATTAAGAACAAAATTAGCTTTAATTTGATACAAAAAACATGCATATACTTCATGGGCAGCGTATTTTATTTAAAAAATAAATGAACGAAATAAAATTTTTGTTCAAAAATTAATTACTATTAATTGAATCAATCAATCAAAATCAATTATTATTCTCAAATATTAATGTTTTCTCCTATTTTTAAATGTATGTAAAAATGTGAGTTTGATTAACTATATTATGTATGTAGTGATTCTTCAGTGAGATCTTGTACCAACAATTGTTTTGCAAGGATAAACGGTTTAATATTTTCATTTTTTTTATTTATAATAGGTAAGTACTTTATTTTAATTACTGTTTTGCTGACACACCCACCTGATTTTGTATGCTTCCCATATGAGAACAATATTAATAGCTACTTTTTTTTATAAAAGACAAACAAGACAGGCAACAGTTACGAAATAATAACATACAAAAGAAAGACAGTTGAAAATACTAGAACTAAGGTCCTACTATTTCACATTTTCAAAACCTACTATTGGAAAAATTGCTTAAATTTTATGTTAAGTGTGTTTTAAAAAATCCCATAAAATGCATCTGATAATCGAATTAGAGCTGCTTAAATAGAGCAGAGAAGCAACAGATTGTAGCAGGATAATTTTATGTTTAGAGAAGGTTTCACATAAAAATTGTGTGGCATCTTGATATAACCAGACTGAAACATCCAGTGGTTAAGGTCATCGAAATTCACATGTCTCTGTTTCTGAAAGTTTTATTTTATATAGGTATAAGTTTACTACCCAAAAAGGCATCTAATGTACATTATAAATTTTCTGATAGATGAAATTTCTCTCATTTAGGGGTGTAAATGGAATATTTTGATATATATTACAGTGAATGAATTCCTTGAATGATATTTTGCTATTTCTTGTAAAGCACTTTCACTAAATTTCGCAATTAACTCGTAAGTGTTTTTTTTTCTATTCAGGTTATCAGTAATATCATTTCTTGTAGACTGTAGGATGTACCTGAATAGTTTCCTTTTAGACAATGGCTTAAAAAAGTTTGATATAAAAGAATAATTTATACTTACTGCTCTATTGCTGAAGATATGTTGCAAAAATCACTTTCTCCCCAATATTTTGTCAGTTATCTTAAAATGAAGTTTCCACCCATATAAAGAGGAATTTGGAAAATGTCTTACAATATTTCTTCTTTATATCTTATATCTATAGGTGATATCCAGTAAAATACAATAATTATGATTTTTTTCATCTCCAAGTCCTTGGGATATTTTAAAATCTTGCTTTATAGTTTGATTATGGTTTGTGCTACAGCAATACACTGATCAATACAATGATTATTAAATAGTAGCATAAAATGTAATACAATTCCAGGTATTAACAGAAAACAACAGTTTTCAAATAAAGCTAGAAGAGGACACTAATGAAGTTGCATTTGCGAGTGATATAGAACAAGGAGAAGAAACCGAGGAAATGGAAATTGAAGAAAATATCGAATATCAAACTTTTTCAAATGTCGAAGGAGAAATTTTAGATTCTGGAGCAATGGACAACTCATCTGATTCAGATTTTGACCCTTCCACTTTAACCAGAGTATTTAGTAAAAAGTCTAATATAATTGAAGTTTCTAGTTTCAACGATGGCGAGTTTAAAGGTAAAATATTATGTATTTGTAATTGTTTGTAGTCCATAATTAGTTGAACATTAGCTAAGTAGTAATAGATGACATCAACAAGTGTTACATGTTTTCAAATTACAAATTTTGTATAGCACTCAGTATATAAGTTTATTTTTGCTAAGTATTTCTTAACAAATTATTTTATGCTGTGTTGATAAATTAACTGTTAAATATGTTTAACCAACTGCTTTAGTATCATTATAAAATGCTGTTATGGTCTGTTTGGAAAGATTTTAAATAATCCTCAGTTTGTACCCTCAGGATGATATCAAATTTTTATTGTTTTGTGTGTTTATGTACTTGTATGTTTATGTATTGTGTGTTTTATATGTATTATGTATAATTGTAGATGCTGTGTCTCTGACTTTTTATTAATCTGCCAATGTTGGTATATTCTTGTTCCTAACATCTTATTATAGTGTTGGCAACCATGGCCTGCTACATGGCATTCTGTTAATGGGTTTGATTTTAGTCGTTTTCATGTCTGTTTCATTTTTCTTTCATGACTTATACTATGTGCTTATGCTCGTTTATCCTGACACTTAGTGGTTTTGCAGTTTCTCCCATATACAAATTGTTGCATTCACAGAATATTTTATAGGTGCAGTTTTTTGATTTCACTTGTGTTTTGTTAGGTTTGGTTTTGGATAGAATAAATGTGTATAGTCCGTCATAGTTGTTCGAATTCTCTCTAACGCATTAAGCTAGAAGTGACAGAAAAAAACGTGAGTCTGTGATTATTATACATAGAACTTCGAAAATAAGGTATCGTTCACGGGTAATCGCATATTAAAGCGAATAAATATTATTTGACGCAGATGGTCTCGATCGTGATAGTGACAGTACATTCACAATGACAACTGATAAAATGATAATTGCCATTCCATAATTGTCAGACATTTTACCTACAATGAAAGTTAAGTTTTATATAGATTGTCATAAAAATATTTTAAATATTCCGAAATATACCGAGAATGAACAAAGACTATTATTAAATTATTTTCAATTAGAAAAAGAGGTTGGGACAACTTTATTACCAGTTTCTGTCGTTCGCGAGTCAGATTGTGAATTCAGAAATGATATTGAGGAAATATCTTAAACTAATACCGTTATGGATATTTATATGTATTAAAACGGTTCTTTTTATAACCACGAAATTTTCTTGAAATGTAAGATATAATTGATACCAGCCACATATCTACTGTAATCATTGATTTTAATTAATCAGATTCTGAATCGGATTGTGGATTGTTTGAAATATATTATTCATTTTTGTTATTCATAAAAAAGAAGGTAAACTTACATTCGGTATCTTGTTTTTTAACTATAAACTCGACACTATTTCATCTGGATACCGGAACTGGTAGATTAACTCAAAAATCAACTGCTTTACTATTTAAACTATTTCTACTATTTAATGATAAATCTTCACAAAATTAAACTATTGGCTGTCACAGAAACTTTTCGGAAAATTACTTATCCATCAATGACTGATTTCAATCGATGTTATTTTATCACAGGAATGTTTGCTTTGATGCCTTGCAATTGCCTTGCCACTGCCAGTAAATTTTTTTATCTCGCAATCAACTCTTAAAAGATTCTAGGAGGAAGCGTTATTTTAAATAAACAAACATTCCAATTCCATAGTGTTTGTAATAAATAATAATAAATACATAAACAAATCTTGCTAATTAAGTACTTTCCTTGGAATGTATAGAATAGGAATTATGTGCTGCTATAAACTGCTGTTCCAATAAAATGCGCAATAAAATTTTTTATACAGGACGGGGCCTCTAATATGTAAATTAAATAAAAATTTGAATTGTTAAAGTTTTACTCTACATTTAAAAAAAATAACCTTTTCACATTTAGCCGATTACGATCCTGCAACTGTCAGGTTTAACTAAAATCAATGTAATGTAATAATTCTCGACATTCTTAAAATCCTATATGACGTCAAAATTAGTGACGCAGTGAAAGAAGGGTTTGGGACAGACAGTATGTTGGTTTTTTTAATGAGTTTGTGATGTTATAGTTATTTCCTATCTTTTTTTAATTCTCCTGATAAGCCCTTTACATATGAAGACCATACGGAAGAAAGGCGAAATGTCAATTTTTTATTATTTTTTGTTCAGAGCAGCAATATGTAGGTTTTTAGTAATAGTTTTATGTGAGTCATTCAAACACGGGAAAAAGACGAATCCTCATAGCTTAAAACACGTTATAAAATTCTTCGAACAGGGAAGAAAGGCGAATGGTCCTCGCGTAAATCCGAGAAAGGTGGAATGTCAGTGCTTGTCGGGACGTCGGGTGAGTACACGCCGTATTTTGTTTACTAAAAACGTTTAGTTTTCGATCAGCCTTCATTAAATAAAGTGCGTGTTATTGTGCTCGAAAATGACGGATAGTGAAAGAGATGATATGTGTCGTGAAAAAAACACTAAAAAAAGGAAAATTACATGTCGAATAAATGAAGTAATGAACCGGTTAAGACAACAGAGCCATGAAACAGGTGACGATTGTCAATGTAAGAGAATTAAGTATTTTAAAACAGTAGATCAACCAAACCGATCAAACATTATAAACAATTTTAACCGTATGGGGAGTGACGAACAAAATAATTACTTGGCAGACCTAATAACGTTAATGCCCGTAAAGCAAAAAAGAGCCCGATATGAAACTACATCAAGTATGCATGATGCAACGTATTCTTTTAGAGTTAGAATAACGACTGACTATAAAACTACTGACGTCCCAGTTTGTTTTAAAGCTTTTCTAAGCCATCATGGCATTGATCAAAAGAGGCTTGAAACTATTCAAAAAAGTTTAAAAGCTACTGGTAATGCACCAATGGACAAACGCGGAAACAATCCAAAAAAACACGCATTAACAAAACAACAGCTAGATGTTATTGAACACATAAAGCGTTTTAAAGGAAGATAAAGCCATATAGTAAAAATAAAACTAAGAAAATGTACCGTCCGGATGACTTAAATATTAAGAAAATGTACATTTTCTTGTACGGCTATCCGCGGAGTGATACGTGTAGTGCTTGCAATCATTTCTTGGCTGACCTTAAGGTCTTTCACAATAAACTGAATGAAACAAATGATGCCTGAAAAACAAAAGATAGTAGTTGAGATAAAACGAATAACTTTGGCAAATAGCCTACACAAATCCAAATCAGAAGCATTTCATGAAATAAAGAGAAAGCCAAGGAAAGCAGCTATGCAGAATGTTAACTGTGAAGCAGTCGCTATGGATTTTGAAAAAAAAATTATCCACTCTAAATATTTCGACCAACGTCTACTATAAGAGACAACTGACTCTTCACTCCTTTAACATTTATGTATTGTCAACAGGAAATGCAACATTTTATTGGTTTCCAGAAACTATGGGAGGCAAAGGTTCAAACGAAGTAGTGTCGTTTCTACACCATTTTATCTTTGTTCAGCTTGATCTGTCAGTTCGTCACCACATATTCTGTGATTCATGTAGCGGCCAAAATAAAAACTTCACTGTTTTCTGTTATCTTCACTATGTAATTAATACTGCAAAAAGGTTGGTCTCAATCCCTACAATCAAAGTAAGATATGGGTGTGATAAACCAAAAAATTGTGGCTGAACTTCCTGAGGATTGGTACACGGTAATTAGATCATGTCGAGTAAAACCAAATCCATTCGATGTCGTAGAGGTCGATTAATCACTTATAAGAAACTGGTTACTATTCTTGGATCAAATTTACGTAACTAAACCAACATATAAATCAAGACCAATTAGAGAACTCGAAATATTGAAAGATCATCCACGCCTTTTCAAACATCGAGATTCCTATAATGGGCAATGAGAGACGTCAATTATACGCAAACCATTTACAAATTCCGATGAGGTGCAACTACCCGAGAGCCAGTTTATTTTGCCACCAAAATTATATACAAGTGAGGTTGTTTTTAAAAATTCCCTTCCTTTTCTCTTTTTTTTTTTATAGAGATGTTTTTTAGAGCTAAGGAAAAAATTTCTAAGGAAAAATTTAGCGATCTGGTCCACTTGAGTCAGTTTTGCACATCTGAAAGGGCTAGATCGTTCTATAGAGGCTTACCTTACAACAAAAAAAAACCTAAACAAAATGAGGAGAAAATAATAAAAGCTAGACAAATGAAGAACAGAAAAAAATTGTTGTCATATATTTCGCATTTTTCCCGTGTTTGTAGTGACTTGTGTTTTCATAAACCAATGTTTCTAAGTTTTGTGTTTTATTTTAAATTCCGTTGATTAAATAATACGTTACAAAATAACTATGAAGACTACTTAAATTAAGTAGTACGCAAAATATTTAATTGTATGATGATGTTTAGGGTTTTAAAGTTAAAAATTCTATTTTCTCGAATTAACCTCTTTGTGACATTTCGCCTTTCTTCCGTGTGGTCTTCATATGGTATTGGTGTCATCTTTAAATCCCTTCATGTGAGTGTTTTTGGATTTTATGTTGTTTTTTTGTTTCCTTTCTTCAGTCTTGTGAATTTCCTTATCTATAAATGACAAGGGCTAATAATATTTTGTCATGAATAACAGCTCACTAATTTAAAATATTCTTTTTTTGAAAACGATTTCCGGAGTGGAAATCGAAACGTCAAATAACAAAATAGTAATGGTTGAGAAATTATGGTAACAAACTTCCAAACCATCAGGAAAAATTTCAGGAATTATGTCTCAGGTCTCTTCTTTACGATGGAATATACACGAGACATAGTGTCAGATAGAAATAATTCTAGAGCATTACGGAAACTAATGCCATCATCATCAGCACAGGCTCGACAAACCTTTTTGGGTCTTGGCCTATTCCAGGATTCTTCTCCAATTTTTCATTTTTATTTATTATTTTCTCTTTGTTCTATGTATCTCAGCTTCGGTCTTGTTCTTTTTACTACTGGCACCAGTTTGCTTAGCAAACGGAAACTAATATACCATTAGAAAAAAAAAAATCAATCATGGAACACAATCATGGATCATTTTCAATAAACTAAACTTTTTTTCAGATTTGTTAAAGTTGGACTCGACCAGTACAGACGGGACAATAAAAATATCAACATCTAATAGTTTAGAGAAAAAACCAATCATCTTAAGAAAGAAGATATCCTATAATCCCATAGAAACTGTCTTTGAAGAAGAAAGAAACATCACTGCTCCTATTTCATTACCAGTTGTACTTAAGGATGGTAATATTTACACATGTGTATTGTGTCAGGGAGATGAGACAGTCGCAGGAGACTCAAAAGCGATAGTAGCTCATGTTAAAGAAGAACACGGTTTTCGATTATACATTTGCGACGTTTGTGGGCAGGATTTTTGTAAACGAAATCAATTGTCAGCTCATTTAGATGAACACGTTGCAGCTGAAGAAGGGGATTTTCAGTGTGAAGTTTGCAATAGAATTTTCAGCAATCTAAGGTTATTTCGCATCCATAAACGCATGCACAATCCACAAACGAAGGCATGGGTGTGTGACACTTGTGGCAAAAAGTATAACAGCAAGAATCTACTGGATGAGCACGTCAATACACATTTAGGTATGTTTTGTGTAAAGTAAATGTAAGACATAAAGACAATCCTAAATTACATCAAACACTTTATAAGACATATTTAATGTTTATGTTTAATTTAAGATAAAAAACAAAAGTTTGAAGTCCATTGATGTTTATTTGTGGTATCAGGGTGATAAACTTTTGTGACAAAATCTGTTATATCTGTTATTATAAGATATACCAAAAAAAGTTATTTACAAAAATAGCAGGAAGCTGTGAGCTTCACATTTTAAAATTAGTTACAATAATTCTATTGGGGGTATATGTCCTACTTTTGTAAATCTGATTACCCTATATATAATAACTGTTTTGGATGGGTTGGAGTCAATAAAAGGGGCTATTTGTTGACTATTTTTTACTCGAGCTTTCAATTGTGATTACAATTATTATCAAGAGCTTCTAAAAAATACAAAATATCTTACAAAGTTGAACTAGAAATAAAAAAATTTTTGTTAACTCACCAAATAAAATTAGTTTTTTATATAAAACTGCTGCTAACATATTAATCACAAAAAATATTATTAAAAAAATGTCCTATTCTAATAAATATTTCTCTGAAATAAATTTTGATAAAGGTTCTTAACAAAAACAATTGAATTTGTAAACAAAAATTGAATAGCTACAAATCAGCCTCAATATCATAAATACCAACTTAAAATTTTTTTTATTTTTGACATATTGTCAAAAATAAAATTTTGTTTAAAAAATTCTTTTTTGTTTAGTAACAAAAAAGAAGAAGATTTATTCACCATTGATAGATGCCTGAAAAAATGTAACAAATACATGGAAAATTCAAAATGTAATATTTTACTGATTGCATATATAAATTGCATAGAAATAATATAATTATCACTTTTGCTAATACAAACCATTTCCAAAAAAGTTCTTTTAAATTTATTACTTTCACTACATAAAATTTTAATATTATCAAAATCCATAATATGGTCTTTGTCTATTACATGCTCTGCCAAAGCACAAGATGGTTTCTTAATTCTGCAATCACTTTTGTGAGAAATAATGCGATTTGAAAGATTTCTTCCAGTCTCACCAATATACTCAGCTTCACACTGAATGATACCAATGCTGTATACTACATTTGTTTGATCTAATTTGTCTATAGGATATTTAGTTTTGGAATATAAAGATGAAATGGTTTTGTTGTTCTTTGTTGCTATTTTTATATTGTCAATAACCTTTAGTGCCTGTATTAATTTAGGAGTTAATGATGGTATAAAAGGTAGTGAATGATAATATATGTTCTGATTGTTGGATACAGTGTTTTGAGATTTAGCAAAAAATGGTGTTAAGTTATTTATATTTAATAAATTAGAAAAAGCATCCTACGTAGCATATCTGGAGGATAAGAGTTTTCAATTAAAATATTTTTTAACAAATGAAGATCTTCTTGTAGATAGTCTGGATGAGAAAGTTTTAAAACACGTTCCTTTAATCCTGTTATAAGGTTCATTTTCATCTTATTTGGATGATGAGAGTAATAGCTTATAAATCTATTACTACATATGGGTTTTCTGAACCATATGGTTTTCAACATATTGTCTGTATTTCTTACAATTCTCATGTCAAGGAATGATAGAGAATTATCTACCTCTTCCTCAACTGTAAATTGTATATGTTGATTATGATTGTTGAGAATGTTGACTGTTTCAAGAATTTTGTGTTTAGGAAGTGCCAAAACTAGATCATCTACAAATCTTTTGATAAATGGAATGAAAAAAGGAATGATAACATCATCCATGACATAGCTACTTAGAATGGGTGAAAGACTAGATCCCATAGGGCTACCAAAAATTTGTTTATAAAAAACACTATTAAATATAAAAATATTAGACACAAAAACAAAGTTGATAAGTGTTTTAAAATGTAATAAGTCTATATTAGTATGTTGCGAAATCTCATTCCAATGTTTTTCAACACTACTTATGATTAAATTTAAAGGTAAATTGGTAAAAAGAGATGTTACATTCCTTGACATGAGAATTGTAAGAAATACAGACAATATGTTGAAAACCAGATGGTTCAGAAAACCCATATGTAGTAATAGATTTATAAGCTATTACTCTCATCATCCAAATAAGATGAAAATGAACCTTATAACAGGATTAAAGGAACGTGTTTTAAAACTTTCTCATCCAGACTCTCTACAAGAAGATCTTCATTTGTTAAAAAATATTTTAATTGAAAACTCTTATCCTCCAGATATGCTACGTATGATGCTTTTTTCTAATTTATTAAATATAAATAACTTTTTTTTTGCTAAATCTCAAAACACGGGATCCAACAATCATAACATATATTATCATTCACTACCTTTTATACCATCATTAACTCCTAAATTAATACAAACACTAAAGGCTATTGACAATATAAAAATAGCAACAAAGAACATCAAAACCATTTCATCTTTATATTCCAAAACTAAATATCCTATAGACAAATTAGATCAAACAAATGTAGTATACAGCATTGGTTGTACTCAGTGTGAAGCTGAGTATATTGGTGAGACTGGAAGAAATCTCTCAAATCGCATTATTTCTCACAAAAGTGATTGCAGAATTAAGAAACCATCTTGTGCTTTGGCAGAGCATGTAATAGACAAAGACCATATTATGGATTTTGATAATATTAAAATTTTATGTAGTGAAAGTAATAAATTTAAAAGAACTTTTTTGGAACTGGTTTGTATTAGCAAAAGTGATAATAATTTAAACAAAAGGTCATAAATTCAAAATCTAAGCAAAATTTATAATTATATTATTTCTATGTAATTTATATATGCAATCAGTAAAATATTACATTTTAAATTTTCCATGTATTTGTTACATTTTTTCAGGCATCTATCAATGGTGAATAAATCTTCTTCTTTTTTGTTACTAAACAAAAAAGAATTTTTTTAACAAAATTTTATTTTTGACAATATGTCAAAAATAAAAAAAATTTTAAGTTGGTATTTATGACATTGAGGCTGATTTGTAGCTATTCAATTTTTGTTTACAAATTCAATTGTTTTTGTTAAGAAACTTTATCAAAATTTATTTCAGAGAAACATTTATTAGAATAGGACATTTTTTAAATATTTTTTGTAATTAATAGGTTAGCAGTAGTTTTATATAAAAAACTAATTTTATTTGGTGAATTTTTTATTTCTATTTCAACTTTGTAAGATATTTTGTATTTTTTAGAAGCTCTTAATAATAATTGTAATCACAATTGAAAGCTCGAGTAAAAAATAGTCAACAAATAGCCCCTTTTATTGACTCCAACCCAACCAAAACAGTTTTATATTTTTTCCAAACGAGTCATAAGTACTTATTTTTCTTATATATATATATATATATATATATATATATATATATATATATATATATATATATATATATATATATATATATATATATATACCGGGTGGTGAATCGTCAAACGGTCCATAGGAAACTCAATGAGAAATTTTAAATTGTTGAATTGCTGCTTCCCTAATTATTTTAGATCAAAAGTCATAAAAAACTATTTGTAGAGGACTAAAATCTGAATTAAAAACAAATGTTAAAACCGTTCTACGAATCAAATGTACTTCACAATTTTGCAAAAATATAATACATTTTTCAGGCCACCCCTAAAAGTTAGGCCACACGTAATGCAAGAATATATATTAGGACGTGTGTGTTTTATCATATTAATGTCAGATGTTTGACAATTTGACTTGTCAATTTTTTTAGTTTATGATTAAATTATAAACAATGAATTTTACTAAATACTACTACTAATGAACATTATTACTTTGTGAACAATAAATTATATGGTTTACAAATCGATCAATATAATGAAATGTACTCAGTTGACGAAAAATCGCGTAATGTTGTATTCAGGCAATAGCGCGAACCTTTTCCTGCCACTACCGGACCTTTATTTAACGTAAGATATTCTAATTAACTAAAATTTAATTCCATGTTAAGTTATACAACAATTCAATGAATTCCAATAAACTGTTAGTGTGATCTTTATTCCTAATAATAATATATGATAATTTCTAAACATAAAATTATAACAAATGTTATAATAAAATATGAATAAAACATTTTTATTATTGCTTTTTTCTCCTCAACTGAGTACATTTTTTAATCAACTTAATTTTTTTAACAATAAATCACAAAATTTTCGCCATTTAAATCATAGATTAATGTAATATATTTAAATATTATCAAATATCAGAAACAATATAATACATTTTTCTGTGAAAAAATATGTATTACGTAACACGTAATCTAAATACGTAAATTTGGTAAATTTGGTAATATTTTACCAAAATTTTGGAATACGTTTAAGTCGTAGAATAATTTTAATAGTTGTTTTCGATACATATTTGAGTCCTCTACAAATAGTTTCCCATGACCTTTGGTGTAAAATAATTAGGGAAGCAGGAATTCAACAATTTAGAATTTCCCATTGAGTTTCCTATATATAGCTAAATACTTGTTTTTTAAGGTGTCCGTCCGTACGTCTGCGAAATCTGCCATAAAGATTTCGCCAGCAAATATACATACAAAGCCCACGAAAAAACACACGACGTACGACCGCGACCTTATAAGTGCTCCCAATGTGATAAATCGTTCCTAAGCCAACCTAATCTAACTCAACACGAACGCACACACTTGGGAATGAAAGAATATGGCTGTCAATGGTGTGGCAAACAATTCGGTTCGTCTCATAATCTCGAAGTGCATTCTATTGTTCATACTGGCTACAAACCGTTCGTGTGTGGTTTGTGCGGGAAAGCTTTTGCTAGAAAAGCAGAGATTCGAGACCACGAAAGAACTCACACAGGTAAGTTTCTTTGGATCTAATTCCCTAGAAAAGAAACACTCAATAGACTGACGCTAACAAAAACCTTTTTTGTCACTTAATTTAATCTTTTGTTTAACCCTTATTAAATTATTTCAATATGTTTTTGGTTTTCCTATATTTTTCTAACCTAAAATAAATAATATTGAAACTTGCATCAAAATAATGACATGGAAAAAATTCAATCGAAAGGAAAACTATATGGTAGAGCCTGAAAAAGAAACAAGTAAGCGAAGACCTGCGGAACAGAAAACTGGATTTTAAGCAGAAGACACCAAAGTAGGTTACAACCAACAGAGATGAAGTAACTCAGAAGAACGATAGGGACAAGAAGGAAAGACTGGCTCAGAAATAAAGAAATAAGAAACAATCTTTAAGAAACAGTCTTAAAATTAAACTGTTGCTTAACACAAAAAAGGAGAAAAAAATAGCATAGTTCGGTCATATAACATAGATGGACAGTAACATGCAAATCAAAAGAGTATGGGAAGCTAAACCAATAGGGAAAAGCAGAAGGGGCAGACCAATAAAAGAGTGAAATAGCGACATAATAGAGATATTACAAAATAAGGCCAAATCTTGTAAATTAACACAAATAGTGAAGAACAGAAAAGAATGGAGAAAATTCGTCAAAAGCTATTTTTCTGATCTGATCTGTGCGGGCTAGATGAATTCAGACTTTTCCATTAATTTTTGAACGCGAAATGTACCTAAATAAATAACTTTTCAGGCTATTTACGAATAGTTACACATTAAGTCATCGCACAGTTCTTATAGAAATTTTACAATATCGTTTATTAAAAAATTTACGCAAAAACTTACTACTTCTTACAGTTAGGGTGATATATGTACGAGTTTGTCAATCTTAAAATACAAAATGGTAAATTTTTTTCAAATGCCAATTGCTTCGTTAACACAATCATCTGTTTCTATACAGAAAGGCCCTGGTTTGGACAATCTTTCTGCCGAACTCTTTAAAAATGGTGGCGCCACCCTTTTTAAACACATGCCTAAATTAGTAACCGAAATATGGCAACGGAAGGAAACGCCCGCAGACTGGAAATTAGGTGTAATGCACCTCTTCACAAAAAAGGAGATATGATCGTGTGTGATAATTATAGAGGCATCACCCTACTTAACGTGGCATATAAAGTATTGTCCAACGTATTGTACAGAAGAGTAATCCCCTATGCTGAACAAATAGTTGGGAACTACCAGTGCGGTTTCCGACCCAATAAATCAACAACGGTTCAAATCTTTACAGTCAGTCAGATTCTTAAGAAAACACCACCTATTCGTGGATTTCAAAGCCGCATACGACTCAATCAAACAGACAAAAACTTCTAAATGATTGGTGGAATTTCAAATTCCGCTTCATCTTGTAAAACTAACGGAACTTACACTCACAGGCGTAGGGAGTGTAGTCAGAATCCAAAACGACTTTTCAAGACCCTTCCATGTAAAAATGGACTGAGACAGGGAGATGGACTGTCGTGTCTCTTATTTAACCTTCTTCTTCTTCGTCTAGCCATTCACGTCCACATCTGAACATAAGCCTCTTCAAGTCTTCCTTTCCATTGTTTTTTATTGTACGCTACTTGTAGCCAATTTTTCCCGGCAGTCCTTTTCAGATCATCTGTCCATCTCGTAGGAGGTCTGCCTCTGGCTCTTTTGTGTTGGTATGGTCTCCAGGTTAAAATTGATCTGTGCCATTTGTTTAGATCGCTCCTAGCTACATGTCCAGCGTATTCCCATTTCAACTTTAATGATTTTTGCACCACATCGGTGACTTTGGTTTTCTGTCTTATCCATGTGTTTGTTTTCTTGTCCTTAAGTGATATACCTAGCATTGCTCTTTTCATCGCCTGTTGAGTGACTCTTCTAAGTATATTCATATTCTTTTTTGTGATTCTCCATGTTTGTGCCGCATAAGTTAATATCGAAATAATGCATGCATCAAAAACTTTAGATCTTGAAAGATGTAATTGAATTCGTTGATTTCTGAGTATATAGTTCAGTTTACCGAATGCTCCTCAAGCTAACTTTCTTCTTCTTTTTATTTCTTCAGTTTGAATTTCCCTATTTAGTATTATTTTTTGTACTAAATATATTTTTATTTAACCTTGCGCTAGAAAAAATAATTCGAGAGTGCCATATTAATACGAATGCCACCATATTTAATAAATCCGTACAAGTGATCGGATATGCAGGACATAGACATTATTGCTAGGTCCACAGAATCTCTGATTAAAGCATTTCGATCATTAAGGGCGTCTGCACTGAGAATGGGATTAAAAATAAACGCACAGAAAACCAAGTATATGTATTGTATTAGATCAGGTAACCAGATACCTAGACTATTAATTGATGATCTAGAACTGGAAGGTGTGGACACCTTCGTCCACCTGGGCTCGCTGCTGACTAAAGATAACAATGTCAGTGAAGACATTAAAAGAAGAATAGTGCTTGCCAATAAGTGCTATTATGGCTTGAGGAAACAGATGGCCCCAAAACTACCCAGAAAAATTAAAGTTACCATATATAAAACACTAGTAAGGCCCGTGTTAACATACGGGTCAGAGACGTGTTCACTTACACAGAACGACCAAGAATGGCTTAAACGTATTGAGAGAAAAATTCCAAGTAAAATATATGGAGGAGTCCAAGAACAGGGTTTGTGGCGTAGGTGCTACAACTTTGAGCTATCTAGAAGTTTTGGGGAACCTGGCGTTGTAAAATGTATTAAATTAGCACGCCAACAAGAGTTGCCAGAGAAATTAAAGCATGGAGAAGAGTTGCCAGAGACAGGGGCAAATGGTAGATTGTTCTGAAGAAGGCTTTGTCTCATAAAGAGTTGTAATGCCACTGATGATGATAATGATACAGAAAGGGTAATTTAACTCTGAGAACAAGCTAATAGGACCTCGAAATAACTATCACTGTATACAACAAGGCTCAGTATGATCGCCAATCTTATTAAATCTGTATACCTCTGACATACATAATATGCATATAAACAACATCCCATTCAAAATCATGCAATATGCAGACGACTTTTGTCTATAAGGAAAACAAGAAACATGAAAAAGATATGCAAAACTTATGTGAAGTATGTAGTTCTCTTTTTCCATGATTCTTAGAGAACGGCTTAAATTTATCAATTGCCAAATCAGCAGTATCTATCTTTACAAGAAACAACCTTCCTATAAATCAAAATATATTTCTTAATGATCAATTACTACTACTACAATATCACCGTAACTGTTCACACTAACATCAGTGTTGAGAACATGTGACGTCAAAGCAGTCACGTGACAAGCATCAGCGTCTTGCAGTAAAATTTTAAACGGTATGTAAAATACATTACTTTTAAAGTATTGGTGGCGTTAAGAAATAATATTATAAAAATGCCCAAAAAAATAATATTTTGGTTTCATGTTAAATAAAAAGTAAAAAATAAATAAGTAACTGATGCAAACATTAGTTACTTATACGCTGTTTTAAACACTTTCACGAAAATATTCAAATTCCAAAAGTGTTTTGCCCACTTAAGTTTTGGTAATAATTATATATTTCAAAATTATTATTATTAATAAACTAATAACCAGTATAATTCTTCAGGAGAAAGACCGTACCAATGTGAATTTTGTGGTGCTACATTCAGTCAACGTTCCAATTTACAATCACACAAAAGAGCTACACATTATGATGATAAGAGATATCGGTGTACGTTATGTGAGAAAGGTTTTAAAAGAAGACGACTTTTAGACTACCACATTAAGGCAGCTCATACAGGTAAGGCTTAACAATTTTGTTGTATTCTGTTGTACTTTTCTTTTTACTTCTTTTCTGATTATTCTTAGAGTAGCATCTTGTTTTGGTAATTGAGTCGTATGTTATTGCCTCGCTTTTCCGTTGTTAAAAACAACATTCTATCAGAGAACTACGAACGCAGAGAAGCGACACTCCTTTGATCTTGCGTGGGCAAGCCGCCAACTAGTGAAAATGACAGGAAAGCACCTTATGTTTTAATAGTCAGTGGGCATATTACACAATATAAATTCTTAAATAAAATTGAGCATTTATGTTGACTTTCAATAAATATGAAATATTGCACTGAAAAAATAATTACATGTAGGGCCGGCTTTTGTTGACATTCTAAATGGTGTAATTATTTTTGATTTACAAAAGGTTGCAAATACATCGCACAACGCAAAGTAATGGTGAAAATCGTATTGATGGAACCATAGATGAAAATACTTTTTTGTTTATTCTGATGTTGACATTGATAATACAATAATACACCGATTCTTTTTGGCTTGTGTTGATACAAGATTTGTAACAATTATTTCTGGTTTTGTTGTTAACTGCGGTTAGCAACCCAGAGGGTAAAACCCTCTATATATTTTTATTTCCTAAAAATACTATATTCGTATTGTTGTCTGCGAGCGCTTTCACACCAGTAGGCCAACATCTGTGTTGATTTTTTGACCTGAGCCTTTGGAGACAATAAATTTAATGTGTGTTCGTAGTTCTCTGGTTTTTATTCTGAACTATCCCTTGGCAAACCAAAATTTATTTTTTTATTGCTTCACTTAACGAGAGCTCGGGCGGACACGTCGGTGTCGGCTTACTTAAAGTCAAATTAATGCTATTATGTAATAACTAATAATAATTACAAAGCAATAGTAATTACCTGTTATTATTCTCAGGAAATCTAAATAAACTTATTCCTTTTCCTGTCACAAATGAACATCCGCGAAACACACAACAATAACCAGAAGACATTTTAAATATTTATAAATTAAACTTTTAACTATAAACTATAACTATAAACTTATATATTTTAACTATAACTATAAACTATAACTATAAACTTTTAACTACTAAGTAAATTAGATAAATGGTCAAATGCACTTGTATAGTCAAGAGTTTACCACAGATGCCTATGGACTATCGTAAGCGACTAAAGTTGAAGAAAACGCACGTGTTTTTGACAGTAAAGCACCTTATTTGGATCATGCGTATACAGAAAAGATACACGAATTCCGGGCCTCGTGTCGTTTCTCTGTGTTCGTATGTTCTCTGATTCTATATTGTACATGTACATCAATCTAAGTACTTATTTATTATAAACTAGCTGATCCACCGAACTTCGTACCGCCTTAAAATTACATCATGTATTAAAGATCAATAAGCTCCTCTTTCGAGTCTGTTTAGTAAAAAAAATCTCTAGCTAATGAAATATATCTGACCGAGGTGTCACTAGCGATTTTACCATTTCCAACATCTAACAACTGCTTCGATAACATAATTGCACTTAAATCTTGTTGCAAAACATTCACATATTATTTGTCAATTGGAGCGTCTTTACATGCCGCCACAAATTGGATGATGTTAGGCATGCGCTTAGTTCATCCGCAGCAGTTAATTGGGGAATAATTATTAAATATGAAACAGTCTGAAAATAAAATCATGGCTCCACCAAAAATGTTTTTGATTGTCATGAATATTTTTCAAAGTTCTGTCCAGGCTCTGTAAAGAAGAAACTTTTTGTCTTTCTTTTCTCACTAAGGCACGGCTTTGCCACTTGTACGTAATTCAATTTTAACATTTTTGAAGGCACGAAGTTTTTTGGATTTACCTACGATTAGCTATTTCAATTTAAGGGATCCTGATACATTCGCAAATATCATGAGAGTGAGACGTTCTTTCAGAACGTCTTCTACCAAACTTTTTCTACCAATAATCTTTTTTTTTTTTTCGTCTGAAGTGAAAAATGTCTTTATTGAAAGTTGCCGCCAGTTTAGACCGGTTTCATCAGCGTTATAAAGTTGTTCAGGAATTAAGTCCAATTCGGTGATCTCTTTGCTCAAATTCTGAATAAATGCAGATATTTTAGACTTATCTGCACTCAAATTCTCTCCACTCAACTACAAAAATCATATTTCGTACCGTTTTTTGAAGTTTTTAAACCAACCTTGACTAGCATGAAAATCAATTTTTTTGTTGTTAATTTCTGATAAAAAATCAGCTTTATTTTTTAAAATGTTGCCTGAAATAGGGGGTTATCTGGACATTCACTCATTTTAAGGGTTTTTCCTTATATCATTCTCTACATATTTCATAAATTTTTCAATTTTGTCTTTGTTTTTCATAATGTCGTACACTGTAGTTCGTCCAATATCATAGAATCTAGATATCGCAGTTTGAGTTTCACCACACTCACATCTTTTAATTATATCCCATTTTTGTGCTTTCGTTTTGAACTTGTGCTTGTCATTGAACTGAACTTTCTAAACGAATTAAACAAAATTTTTGCTCTATGTATTACTGTATCTAAAAACCCTATTGAACCAAACTGCTCACGGAAAACACACGGAATGAAGCATCCGGTTAGAATGAGATTCATGTCGCGACAGGTTTCAGTGTAAGCAGACACGGCGGCGACCTTGACGGGAGTCGGAATATCAAGGGTGTACTATAATGTATATTATATCGTATTGAAATCTAAAGTTTTTAAACGACGTCGGATGTGAACTCATGCCCTCCCCTCCCACCTGTCATAAACCATGGTCATAAGTAAAGTCCCCTCCTCTTTTCTACGACTTAGTTTATGGACATTCCCTAATGTTATAGCTTTAACTTTATCATGTGGTGCAGCTTTTGACCGCATGGAACTGCGAACACCCTACGTGGGCGAGCTTCAGGAACCGGATGATGTAGATGGCGATTCTTGGGGATGCAAACTGGGGGGTGACTACTCGCGTCAATGTCGCTTAAATCTTGCAGTTGGTTATGTATTCTTCTCCTTTGATTCGTATCTCCCGCATTTAGATGGGGTTGTCATTTAATATTTAAGTATTTTATAAAAAATTGCGAAACTGCAACACGTATGGTTCCTGTAACCACTGATCACCAACTTTACATGTTTGTGCTATGTGCTTATATATTTATGTTTTTCAGGAGAAAGACCCTACAGATGTGAAGTATGCGAAGCTACTTTCGTATATCCCGAACATTTCAAAAAACACACTCGGATTCACACCGGCGAAAAACCCTTTCTTTGCGAAATGTGTGGAAAAGCTTTTAACAGTAGGGATAATCGAAATGCACATAGATATGTTCATTCTGATAAAAAGCCTTATGAATGTCTCGTATGTGGCGCAGGGTTCATGAGGAAACCATTATTGTATCAGGTAAATATGTTGTTTTTTATTTTATTTTATTTATTTATTTTTATGTATATATTTTATAGTATATATACTATTTTAAATATATTTTTTTATTTAGTGAATCTTACCATGTTTTTATTTGAACGATATTTGTATTTCGTTAATAATTTCATTCCATTATAAAATCCATATCATTTTTCTTTGCCTTATGAATATCCCATTTGTGTTTTTTGTTACTCAAATATTTAAAAATAGTGGCGCCCTTTTTTGAGCAATTCTTTTTCCTGTTCTTTTTTGTTGTTTATATCCATCTTTCTTGTGTTTCTCACCTCTATGAACGATCCTGCTCATAATCTACTTCTTACTGAGCAACGGTGCCTTCGAGTAACATAGTGTATCAGCGTTCTAAGTAATTTAGTTCACTATGTATTTTGCAGTTGTATAACTAGATTATTATTAGAACAATGATCAGTATTTAAATTTTTGTATTTTCTTTTATTCAGCATATGCAAACCCAAGGTCATGTGAACGACACCTTCGTAGTTAATCAACCACGACTTAATATTAACATCAAAGAAGAGGATCTGATTCCTGTTAATCCGACCGAAGAAATAGAATTATTGGACGCGTCTTCGTCCGACGGTAATTTGTATATCCAGGATCAAGATGGTACGGAACATATATTGATAGATCAGCCTATAAGTATCGCTGAGGTTGGTAGCGAAGAGGATAACGAGGAGTTGATTAATGAAATTGAACAGGTAATTTTGGATTTTTTTGAACATTTATTCACGTAGACCACATATTTGCAGGGTTAATTTATTATCATTGAATACATTACTTATTTATAGAGATTCGGCATTATTTTAACGGGTGTATTGTACGACAAATATATATTTTCTCTATCTTCCCCTAGACCTTGCATATTTGTACCCAATTTTATAAGGTAAAGCTTATAGCTACCTCATGTTTTTGTAAATTATTGACTCTATATATTTATATACTGATTTTGATAATTTGTTTCAGGTTGCTGAAGATCAAGGAGAAGAATGCGAAGAAATACTAACAAGTGATGCATTAGCAACTGGAGAAACTCAAATAATAGAAACATCAGAAGGACCAATACAATTGGTTAAAGTAAGAATACATCAGGGAGATGGAGAAGAAAAAGAAGCTTGGATTAGGATAGTTCCTCAATAAAATACGCCCGTGCTATGTTATATGTAATTATAGTCTTAAGACTATTTACTATTAAAACTATTAAGATAGTAAAAAGTGGTGTTTTAATTTTTTGATAGCTACCATTTTTGCGAAATTGAGTGTACCTAGTACAGCAAAGGCCAATAATGTTTTCTTCGCGCCATTGATAAAGAAAATCGAGTAGATAAAAATGCAAGTCTACATGAATAACAGATAACACTACCAGTTCTTCTTAGCCTTCTTCTGCCACACCTAACCAAGACTGGGAATCATCGAAACTATCCTGATTTTATTTACAGCTGATCAAATGAGCTCATTAATGGTGCTCGTTCAATCCAATAAATCCGATATTATTTCGTAATCGTGACATTCTTCTAAGTCCTGGATTCCCTTTTCCTTCTATTTTTGCCTGCATTATATTTTGAACTAATGCGTATTTTTGTCCTCGCATTAGGTGGCCCAAATATTCGAGTTTTCTTCAAATTAATGTTAACGTAACCTCCGGCTCTTTTCCTATACGACGTAGCACTTTTGTGACTATATTAATTCAACTTTCCTTAGGATTCGACGGTAGCACCACATCTCAAAGCTTTCAGTATTTTTTATGTTGTTCTGTTTGAGTCCAGATAATCATACAGGGATACTTACGTCTCTATTGCAGAAGAATTTTTTCAATCTTAATGAGGATGGCCCTGACAATGGCTATAGAAGCGCAAATTGCGATGCTGATCATTTCTTGGTCAGATCAAAGATAAAACAAAGAGTATCAATGGTAAGAAAAGTGAAATGGGCCAAACAAAGAAATCGAACAGATAAATCCCCAAAAATCGTTAGAAGAAGAATCAGTACCAGCAGAATTATTAAATGAACGAGAAGAAAATAACATCGAAGACGAATGGAACATCATCTAAAGGACAATTACCAAGCAAGGGAACCATTAGGTGAAACCTCAAGCAAAACGAACTAGGAATAGTTTGACTAAGATTGCCAACAACTAATAAGTAGAAAAAATACAGCTAGGAAGGAATTCTCAATTGAATAGAAGGATAGATGAAGAACTAAGAAGAGATGCAAGGAAAATATGTAGAAGAAAAAGAGAAATGTTAAATAGAAAAATACAACAAATTACAGACTCTAATAACAGAAGAAAGACTAGGAAATTTTACAAGGGAACATAAACGACACGGACACATGACAAAAACATAAACGAGGCAATTATATTATAAGAAAGAGGAACTAATAAACAGGTGGAAGGTGCATTTTCAAGAGCTCTTAAACCCAGAAAAAGAACATAACCAAGAAGAAGAAATACGTCATCACAGCAGAACTAGTTGAGGAGCCAACATTGAAAGAAACTATATACGTCATAAAATATCTGAAAAATAACAAAGCGCCTGGCACAGATAGAATAGCCGCAGAACTGATAACGAATGGCTGACATGTGTTATAGAAGCGTATCTATAAACTAATATGCCACATATGGACTCTAGAATTCATCCCATAGGATTGGAAAGTAGCAATCATATTTCCTATGTACAAGGGGGAGACAAACGGCTGCGAAAATTATAGGAGCATAAAAGTGTTAAGTGTCGCCTACAAGATAGAAATTATATATAGGCGTCTTGAATCATTTTCTGAAAAAATCATAAATACCAATATGGTTTCAGACCAAAGAAGTCAATTAAAGACCAAATACATATTATGTTAAAAGGTATATATGAAAAATGTGCTGAATGCTAATGTGCCTAACCTAACCTAACCTAACACCAATTTACAATTTGTATATTGATTTCAAACAGAAGTTTGATGGAGTAGATAGAACTATCCACTTTAGAAATACCGCAAAAGTTAAATTTATACAAATGACGTTGAAGTGTTCCAAGGCCATGGTGAGAATGGAGCTATGACAAAAGCATTTAATATTGAAAATGGAGTTAGGCATCAACAACACTTTTTAAAACGAAATTTTTAAATAATATGACGTGTTCTGTTGGACTAGAAACCTCACATTTTTATAGTGATGACAACTTTAGCATGATTCTGATTAATATTCGTTCTATGAGATATAAAACAGATGAACTATTTTTGTTTCTAGAGGAATTAGGATTTCCTCCGATAGTTGTGATTACCGAACACTGGCTTGAAGCTAACGAGCCTTTTTTTGTAGAAAAATATACCACAATTGCTAGATATGATCGTCCAAGTTCAGCTCATGGTGACACCCTAATTCTTTCTACAAATAATGATTTCTCTCCTATAACAAAAGATGGCATTCTTTTGAATGAATCCTTTTTTGAGTTTTCATTGGTTTATAATAATAATCTTAATATATACATTCTTTGCATTTATAGATCACCTGATTCTTCCACGGAACTATTTTTTCAGAACCTGTTAAATTTGTTAAATGATCTGCCTAATAAAAGCAGAAAGATTCTATGCGGTCACTTGAATATTAATTACGCTGTTGCTTGTGCTACCCAAGTATCCTCGATCAATATATTCGAATCGTATGACTTAGATTTCTCACACCTTGATGTACGCTCTACAATTATTAATGCGGGATTCTCTGAACATGAAGCAGTATATACCAAGTTTAACATTCTTAACAAACAATCCTCGAAAACCCAACGTTTAGGTAGGATTTTTTCGTAAATTCCAAAATTTGTGCTTGGCTTCTGGATGGCACTTTCCCTCTGTGGACGTGGACTATAATTTCAGTAATTTTTTTAGATAAGCTTGTCTATATTTTCAATAAGGCATTTCCTTTAATTACAATTAAGTCAAAACATTACACTTGACTACCAAGGACATTCGCATATCAGCCAAGAATATGCGTTCACTACTGTACATCAAGAAATTTACTACCAATGTATTTGTCACTGAATATATCTCCAAGTACAGGGGAACCTATCTAAAACTTATTAAAACAGCTAAAATAATGTACTATGAGTATCGTCTGGGAAGCTCTAAAAATGTTGCAAGGGAAACTTGGTTCATAATAAACGATCTTCAAAATAAAACTAACACAGCTCAAACATTTTATCAGCTATTTTTCCACAAGATCCTATTTCCTATCTTCCCAATTCAAAAAAGGTCTCGAATTCATTCTTTATAAGACCAGTTGATAAATCTGAACTGATGAAAACAATCAGTAATATCAAAAGCAAATCTTCCTGTAGTACTGATGGACTACTTCCATAAAAATTTTCTTAAATCTCACAAATAATGTTTTGGAAGTCCTGGTCTCGCTAATTAACGATTCCTTTAAAAAATGTATATTTCCAGAATGCCTAAAGATAGCCATTATTGTTCCTCTTCATAAGGGTGGTGATAAATGTAATGTCTACAACTCTAGACCTATTGCCTTACTACCTCTCCTATACAAAATTATTGAGAGACTTATCAAAGTCCGACATATGTCCTTTCTCGTTGAAAACAACATGTTAACACAAAGTCAGTTCGGCTTTTTATCTAATAAATGTACCAGCGATGCTATGTTTCCTGTACTAGGTGACGTCTATCAAGCACTAAACAATAATCTTCATACTGTCACTGTTTTTGTGACTACGCCAAAGCTTGTGCTTACTGGGTTTTCAGTGACAATAAAGCATATTCTATTCTAATCTAAATTTGGAAGCTATTATCAGTAGTAATATCCCTAGGACATTGATAACAGACGAGATAATTTCATGACAATCGAAAGCTCGTTCCTCGAAAACGAGTTTGAGAAATTTGTCATGAAATTATGAGGTATTCATCAATATCCGAGGGATATTCGGCGGATAATTTTTCGAAAACAAAAATCATAACTCAACATAACGAAACATTTATTTATTAAAAGTACAGTTAGTAAAAGTACAATTATTAAAATTTAAGTTAACATTAGATTCGTTGCTGTTCTCTACTATAGAAGATCTATTACCACGCATAATATTTATAATCTTGTTGTGGTGTTCTTGATCGAGATTCAAGTATGGTTTTATAGAATTCTTATTGCCATGACCAGTAATTTTTAGCAAATGTTGTTCTTCTACACCACTTTTTGCTAATTCGCTAACAGTAGTTGATCTATTCGAGTGATTTGTTATCTATGTTATTCTATGTTCATTCAACTCATATTCTCGTCCGCAGCGAAATTCCATGAATATTCCCCAAATATATTTGTGACTGTAGGTTGTATTTCTGGGAATTTTTTCTTTGAATAGCGCATTTATACTTTGAACATTCTCATTGCCGAAACGTGACATTTTGAAATTTATTTGGATGAAGTTGTCAAACTCGATCGTGTTGTCATAGGGATTGAAAATTGCACTGAATGCAATTATCAGTAGTAATATCCCTAGGACATTGATAACAGACGAGATAATTTCATGAAAATCGAAAGTTCGTTCCTTGGTAACAGCACGAAGCCGAAGGCTGAGTGCTGTTACCGAGCAACGAGCTTGAGAAATTTGTCATGAAATTACGAGGCATTAATCAATGTCCGAGGGATATTCGGCGGATAATTTTTCGAAAAAAAAATCATAACTCAACATAACGAAACATTTATTTATTAAAAGTACAGTTAGTGAAAGTACAATTATTAAAATTTAAGTTAACACTAGATTCGTTGCTGTTTTCTACTATAGAAGATCTATTACCACGCATAATATTTATAATCTTGTTGTGGTGTTCTTGATCGAGATTCAAGTATGGTTTTATAGAATTCTGATTGCCATGACCAGTAATTTTTAGCAATTGTTGTTCTTCTACACCACTTTTTGCTAATTTGCTAATTTCGAAGTTGTCAAACTTGATCGTGTTGTCATAGGGATTGAAAATTGCACTGAATGCAATTATCAGTCTAATGTTGACATGATTGGGTGAAATTGTTCCACATGACACAAAATGACGAAATTTGAATGGTTGTTAGAACAGTCGAAAAATTATCAGTCTAATGTTGACATGATTGGGTGAAATTGTTCCACATGACACAAAATGACGAAATTTGAATGGTTGTTAGAACAGTCGAAAAATTATCAGTCTAATGTTGACATGATTGGGTGAAATTGTTCCACATGACACA